GGGGGCATGTGTGAGGGTATGGGAGCAAAAGAGGATGTGGTGAGCCTGGGGTGTGGCAGCTCATTGATATGGCTGGGTCAGAGGTCTGTTAAGGGGCGAGGTGGAAGATGAGTCTGGAGAGGTCAGCAAGGCCAGATCCTGAAGGAAGGGCCTTAGACCTATACTAAGGAATAGTGAGATCATAGTATGTTAAGAGGGGAAGGGACCTCTGAGATCCCTTGGCCCCAGTTTTGGTGCAGATAAGAAAACTGAGGCCCAGATTGCTTAATGATTTCACCAAGGTCACTTAGCTCCAAGAAACATAACCTTCAGTCTTTAATATATTGGCTAAAACTTGTTGGCTCTCTCCTAATGCTGATCCCTATTAGCATCTGTATACTTTTTGTTCTGAACATTGTTGTAAAAAGACTTCTAGGTTAGCTAGGTATGGCATGTTGCCATGCATGGAAATGCCTAAGTGGGCAGACACTGGGCCGTGCCCCCACACCAACGGGGAAGAAAGTGAGATTTCTAACTCTATTTTGTTTGGGTTCTCTTCCATTGGCTTTTCAGCACATAAGGAGACCACAGAACACCAGTCAGTGGTGATGACAGACCCCGTGTTGGACTCACAGCCAACCAGCAACACTGGGGAGATGGATGGACTGTGCCCTGAGCTATTGCTGATCCCCCCATCTCTCTCTAACCGTGGAATCCTGGAGCCCGTCCAGAGCGCCTGTCCTGCTGAGAACCCCACACCTTTGCCTGCTGACCCAGGCTGTCTACTGGTAGAGGCCACAGCAACTGAAGAGGACACAGGGAACATGGAGATCATTGTGGAAGCAGTAACTGGAAACCTGTCCCCAGGTGCTCCTGGAGAGACCCCAGGTACCAACCCAGTCGCTAGCAGGCCCCTGGGACAATCAGCCCTGAGGTTTTCTCTGTGCTATTTTTGACCCTTTTGTATAAATAATGATGAGAACACAAGGTAGCATCTTATTTTTATTCTTAGAGATGTTGTCATTTGGTTTGCAGTTGGTGAATGTTGATTGAAGGCTGGCAAGGTGGTTCACAACCTGGTACCAAGCTCTTGGCAGAGCCTCTCCGTGCAAGGACTTCATGTCTGCTAGGCAGGAATCCAGAAGGGAAGACCTTTTTGACACCTCCACCCAATCCTTACTCCTATAGCGTATTGACCCTCCCACTCAGGAACTGCAGCCAGGGATTAGGCAAAAGGCCCAGCGTCTCCACTACCCTGGGCTTGGCAGGGCTTCCTGGAGGTAATCCGGTATTTCCTTGCCCTAGTTTCTTATGTGTAACATCCGTAACTCATCCAAGGCATGTTGTCAAGAGTGGGAGTTGAGCATTTATATTTATGCTAGAAAAAAGATTCTCCCCTTTATTCTTCCCATATCTACAACTTCTTATTTTTAGATAACTTCCCCGTTTGTTAACTGCCATCCTCCGGTTACAGTTGTCACAACTTGCCTTGGCAGTGTAGTATAGTGACAACGAATCCTGGGAAAGATTAGCTAATTTGATCATAGAGTGTTTCTAAGCTTCTGTGTCATAAAGCAAATAATAAAGACAGAACAAACATGGGAAAAACATTTGCAATACAGACGAGATCGGGCGCATTCAGGGTGGTATGGCCGTAGACAACATTTGCAATACATAAGGAAGAGTTATTCTCTTTAATTTTTTGTAAAGATTATTTATTTATTTATTTGAGAGAGAGAGAGAGAGCTAGCAAGAGCAGAGCAGGAGGGTGGGGTAGAGAGAGAGAAGCAGGCTCTCCACTGAGCAGGGAGCCTGATGCGGGGCTCCATCCAAAGACCTCAGGATCATGACCTGAGCTGAAGGCAGACACTCAACCAAGTGAGCCACCCAGGCACCCTGAGTTAATCTCTTTGAAATTCAAAGAGCTCCATAATAAGAAAAAGAAAGGGTGTTTTTTGGGGGGGGGGGTTTTTGAAAGGGAAAAAGAAACCTACATGCGATTCATTAAAGAAGAATAAAAATAGTTAATAACCATAAGAATGCTTAATCTCACTAACACACAAATTCCAGTTAAAAATAATTACGAGGGGTGCTTGGCTGGCTTAGTTGGAAGAGCATGTGACTTTTTTTTTTTTTTTTTAGATTTTATTTATTTATTTTTGCAAGAGAGAGACAGCACACAAGCAGGGAGGAGGGGCAGAGGGAGAGGGAGAAGTAGACTCCCTGCTGAGTGGGGAGCCTGATATGGGACTCAATCCCAGGACCCTGGGATCATGACCCGAGCTGAAGGCAGACGCTTAACTGACTAAGCCATCCAGCCGCCCGAGCATGTGACTCTTGATGTCAGGGTTGTGAGTTGAAGCCCCATGTTGGATGTAGAGATTACTAAAAAAAAAAAAAACTTAAAAAAATAATAATTATGATATGCCATTGTTGTTTCTCAACTTTGGCAAAAATTAAACATTTTTTATAATACCTAGCGTTGGTGGGAAAACAGATACTGTCTTATAGCTTACAGAGAGTATAAATTTAGCATAATCTTTTGAAGGTCAATTTATCTACATAACAGATTTGAAAATATGCATACTCTGACCCAGTAATTCCATTTCCTAGGGCTCTGTCCTCTAGAAAGTGCTCACACGCATGCACAAGAATACAGGCGTAAGGATGTCTAGAGCCACTTTATTTACAAGGGTTGCAAATAACCCAAATGTCCATCAGTAAAGGCAAGACCTCATTTTGACCTGTTCATGCTTGGAAGTACTATGAACTGGACAAAATAATACTAGATCTGAAGGTATTCATAGAAGAAAGTATCTGATCTATAGCAAGTGGGTGGGGGGGGAAGCAAATTGCAGAGAAATGACTCAGAAAGGCCTAAAACAATATAGACCAAATTGTGTGTGTTAAGGGTGAGATTGGTTATTCTTTCTGTAGTTACATCCATGTCATTTGAATTGTTGCACTGAATTTTTCTTTAAACAAAGAAATGATAAAAAAAAAAAGAACCACCAGAGTAGACATGGCACAAACCTGGGCTGGGGTCTTAACAAGTGCAACGGCCTTCACCTCCCAGAACTCTGGGTCCCTCCTCTCGTAGGGCAGCTAGAAGACCAAGTGCGTGTTTCCTAAGCCTTTCTTTATCAAGGTCCTGCCCATTGCTTAAGAAATGACAGTGATTACTATGAACACGATTTGGGTCTTTTGAAAACAGCTGTTCTCCATTTTATGAATTACTGTGCCTTTGAAAAAAATCTCTTTACAGAATGTAAAAAGTAACACTTTGTCATTTAAACTGCAGATATTATCCCCAGATTGTCATTTTCTTCTTTTGAAAGCTCCTAATTTTTCCTGAGGGCAAAACGTATTGCCTTTTCGTAATGCTTTCTGGATTTGGTTACTGCTTATTGTATTCATTCAGCAAATGTTTATTAAATACCCGTTTTATGCCAAATATGGTGCTACCTACTGGGAACCCAGGTACACGTGCATGTTGACTGTCCCTGACCTCATCCGGGGAGCTTACACTCCGGGGAGAAGACTTAAGGTCCATCTCCACTCCACCAATATTAAAAGATTCACCCACATTTTCTACTGGTAGCTAACGCCTGAGAGTCTCGTTCCGTCTGATCCCGTGCCTTTCTCTGTCGGTCCTCTGCCTGCAGGTGTCCTGGTAAAGGTGGTGGAGGTGTACTTCTGTGAGCGCTGTGAGCAGAGCTTCGCAGAGCCCACTCTGCTGGCCCTGCACCAGTGCACTGAGACCCTTATACAGCCTCTAGCGGACCTCTCTGGCCCCCCATGCCCTGTAGAGCTGACCCCCAGCAACCTCCCTCTCTCTGGCCCTCCGCAGGGCCAGGGCCCACCAGATAGCCCCCTGCCGTGCCCTGTGTGTAGACAGGAGTTTGCCCAACCCCAGGCCCTGAAGAGCCACTTCAAGAGTCACCGGAGCACTCCCGACACCTTCCCCTGCCCGGAGTCTGGCTGTGCGTTCTCGGCAGAAGATCGCAAGGGTCTGCAGCACCACCTGAGGCTGGCCCACACCGCAGTTCCTGTGCCGTGTTCTTTCCGGGGCTGCCCCCTGCTCTTTGGGAGCCAGCAGGGCATGGAGCTGCACCGGCAGGCCCATTACCCTTTCCACTGCAACCACTGCAGCTTCATGGGCTCCAACGTCAAGCTCTTCCGGCAGCATCAGCGGAACCACGGGGCCGGGACGCAGGGAGAACTGTCTGCCCAGCAGAGTGCTCCATCCCAGGAGCTGCTGCCAGGTATGAGGCCAAGGCCCAGCAGTCCCTTGCCTGGAACGCGGCCACGGTCAGTCCTGTAGGAGAGGCAGTTGGTTCCAGTGCCATGAACGTGTGCATGAATGCAAGGGACTCTGGAGCAATGGTTCGGGAGGGCAGAATTACTGATGGACATGGGAAGGCCTCTCGAAACCTTGTGCCAGTCAGAATATATGAGACAAAGAGGAAGTCTTTGTCCATGACAATGAGTGAAATTTGGCTTTGGCAACACTGTGGCTTTGAAGTTACTTGATGATTATTCTTTTTTTGATTCATTTCAGAACTTTCTGAGGGCAAAAGCTAAAATACTGTCAGCGGCTGTAGCCACTGGTAGAATGCCTGTAGACTTCCTGTTAGAGCAAGTGGGATTGGGCCAGAGAAGCTGGGGTTATTTTAAAAAGAAGCCTTCAATGAAGGGTGGTACTTCACTGATTCTTACTCCTCTTGGTCTCAAAAAGAAGGCATGAGGTGAATAGAGGAGGAGGAGGAAGAAATAGGCCAGGAGAGGCCAGGATTCTGCTGAGAGACCTAAGCTTGCTAAGACTGCTTGGTGCTGTGTTCCCAAAGAGAAGATCCCTCTTTCCTGGGAAATAGTCCTACGTCTTTGCCTTATTGAAGCAACTGCCTCTGTGGAGAGGTAGAAGCGATGAATTGGAGGGGACAGGGAGTGACCCTGAATTGCTGAGTTAGGCTTCTCAGTAGACCAGTTTAGAGGTCAGGCTATGTTCACCTGCACTGGGCCACCGGCCATTAGCCCTGGGAACCCGAGCGAGGGAAGTGCAGTCTACCCATTCTGTACCTTCCAGCCGCCTTCCCCCACAGTGATCTCAAAGCCCTTGCCTTCAAGGGGTCTGAGGATGGTGTTATCTGAGGTTTGATTTGCTTTAGGTTGGAGCATTAATGATAGCTTAGCTCCTGGTCTTCCTCTGTCTGCCTTGAGTGGTAATAAATGTATAGACCTCAAATCCAAGTGCAAGGTTCTCTTCCACTAAATGGGGAGGGGGTGGTCCTGCCAGCCAGGAAGAGCAGCAGTACAAGCAGCCGCTGCTGTTGTTGGCTCCTGTAGACATTATCAAGTTTTATGTGTCTCCAGCCCCCAAACTGCCCCCTAGAGAGGAAGAGCCGTCAGAACGAGCAGATACGCCCTTGCCCAGGCAGGAGTCAGCGGACGAGGAGGACGTGGAGGAAGAAGAGGAGAGTGGTGCCCTGAAGGACACCCAGAAAGCCCTGGAGAAAGGCCAGGGGCCTCAGCAGTTAGAAGGTAATGACGTGATTAGGCTTGACCCTCTTGGTGGTGGGGAGGAATGGATCGTGGCTCTGGGCTTTGGTTTATAGCCTTTTGATCTTAACCTTCCACTTTGATTTGTCTAGTGGGGAAATGATAAATGGGTAAAGACTGTAGAAACACAGAGTAGGGGTCAATAGAGTTTGCTCTCCTGGGCTGGTTTTCCTCAGGCAGAAAGCTCTTTTGCAGGAAAGGAGAGGGTGATATTCATCATATAAAAGTACCAGAGGTTATTGGTCAGCAGCCTGTCTTGTCTGGCATTGGGCCCACGAATATTTTATTTCTGAATCCTTGCTTCCCGGTTTTCCAGCTCACTAGAACAACATTCGAAACCCATCCATCCCACAAGGAAGCATGTTTACTGTCAAGTGAATAGAAAAGATCTGATTTGTACAGTTCTCTACGATCTAGAACTCAGTGAACCAGTGTTTAGAAGCAGGAGTACTTGACCTTCTTCTCTTCCCTTCTACACACTCTGTGGGTTTCTTTTCCTTCCAACCAACCCTGCTGGTCCCGCTGCCTACTCCCGTGAACGAGGGCAGGAAGAACGAGAATGCTTCATCCAGATTATTCTCTTGAGCAGCTCTGGACATAGGCTTAGGAATAGTAGGTGGCTGGGTAAAGCACTTCAGATGGGCCCACAACAAGGTCAGAGAAACCCTTGTGATTTTGCTTCTTCCAGTACTTGAATTTCTCGTCTCTTTTTTGAGACGACGCTGTTTGAGATGCTGTTGTTAGGTTTCCTGCCCAGAAAAGGGAAAGGCCACGTAATGTTGCATCTGGGCAAATGGTGGTTCTTCCGTTATCTGGGCAACCCCCGACCCCACACAAACTCGCTGTCAACCCTCTCTACCTTTCCCTCTCCCAGGGGATGTGGCTTCTGGCCCCGAGTCCCTCTTCAAGACCCACATGTGCCCAGAATGCAAGCGCTGCTTCAAGAAGCGGACGCACCTGGTGGAGCACCTGCATCTCCACTTCCCAGACCCCAGCCTCCAGTGCCCCAACTGCCAGAAGTTCTTCACCAGCAAGAGCAAGCTCAAGACCCATCTGCTGCGGGAGCTGGGCCAGAAGGCCCACCGCTGCCCACTGTGCCATTACAGCGCGGTGGAGAGGAATGCGCTCAACCGCCACATGGCTAGCATGCACGAGGACATTTCCAACCTGTACTCGGACACCTACGCCTGTCCCGTGTGCCGCGAGGAGTTCCGCCTCAGCCAGGCCCTGAAGGAGCACCTCAAGAGCCACACGGCGGCGGCCGCCGCGGGGCCCTTGCCCCTTCGCTGCTTTCAGGAGGGCTGCAGCTACGCGGCCCCCGACCGCAAGGCCTTTGTCAGGCACCTGAAGGAGAGCCACGGCGCACGGGCCGTGGAGTGCCGCCATCACTCCTGCCCCCTGCTCTTCGCCACGGCCGAGGCCATGGAGGCGCACCACAAGAGCCACTACGCCTTCCACTGCCCGCACTGTGACTTTGCCTGCTCCAATAAGCACCTGTTCCGCAAACACAAGAAGCAGGGCCACCCGGGCAGCGAAGAGCTGCGCTGCACCTTCTGCCCCTTCGCCACCTTCAACCCGGTGGCCTACCAGGACCACGTGGGCAAGATGCACGCCCACGAGAAGATCCATCAGTGCCCCGAGTGCAGCTTCGCCACTGCCCACAAGAGGGTGCTCATCCGCCACATGCTGCTGCACACGGGTGAGCCGCCCGCCCCTCTGCAGTTACCCCTACAGTCGCCCCTACCGTAACCCCTACAGTAACCCGCCCGCGATGGCGAAGACACACGAAGGGCTCCGCGTCCGTTGTTTTCTTTGACCCCGTGTTCCTAGAGCTAAATCTACCATTTGTAGTTTACAAAGGAGCCGTAAGTGGAGGGTCCCTTGGCTAGTAAGACGGTTAAGCTGGGATCAGAATCCAGGCAGTCTCCTCCCATGCTCTAACCGTGGTGCCGCTGTGTCTCACCCTCCGGCAGGCGTGGACGGGGTCAGTACCCAGCCTATTAAAGCGGAGAAACCCAGAGCAGGAGAGATACCTTCCTTTGTGATTTAGGTTTTCAGAACGTGCTATGAGAGATGGGGGGGGGTGGGGAGACTGAGCCGTCCACACCCGCGAGAGCCTTGGCAGCCGACGCGGACCCTTAATTGGTTGCCAGCATTATACCGATTCTTTGACTGACAACCAAATTGGGCTTCCTGCTACAGCATCATCCCATTTGTGATCTCTAGGCAAGCATCAGTGGGTTGACAAGACATTTTTTAAAAATCTCATCAAAGGGGCGCCTGGGTGGCTCAGTCGTTACGCGTCTGCCTTCGGCTCAGGTCATGATCCCAGGATCCTGGGATCGAGCCCCGCATCGGGCTCCCTGCTCGGCTGGGAGTCTGCTACTCCCTGTCCCACTCCCCCTGCTTGTGTTCCCTCTCTCGCTGTCTCTCTCTGTCAAATAAAATCTTAAAAAAAAAAAAAAAAAATCTCATCAAAGACTCTAGTTTGGGAGGACAGCTTTTAGGCAGCTTGGGACAAAGCCATTGCTCCCAGTGAACAGTTCATTTCTGTGCATGCTTTAGTCACCAGACCTCATTTTTCAGAGGCCCTTCATAAAATCTCCCATCTCTAAGAGTTTGCCGACTTCTTTTATACTATCTCATTTAATGCGTAATAACAGTCTTGCAAGGAAGGCAGGTAAGGGAGAGAAACTGAACATGTAAATGGCCCGTTTCGGGATCACACAGCTAGTGTTAGAACCGGAGCCAGAATACCATTTCCCTTGCCTTTCACCACAGGGAAACGGGCTGAGTGGGTCAGCAGGGATCACAGGGAAGGGTCCTGAAGGAACGTGCCCCCTTAGTGCGAGCTCTTGCCCAACTCCACGGACAGCTCTTTCTTGTGTTCTTGCTGGGCACCGCGGAGGACTTTGGGACGTCTCACTTAATCGTCTCACCAACCGTCAGCAGTCAGTATTTCTGTTGCCCCCTCTTTGGAGGCAAGGAAACAGACTGGGAGGGGTTACATGACCTGTCCAAGGCCACATAGTAGTAGTAAGCTGGGATCTGAACCACCACTTCCTAGCTCTGTGGTTTCCCTGTGCCTCAGCTTCTTTCTCTGTAAAATGGGGCAGTCCTAGCACCTGCCTCATAGGGCTGTTGGGAAGAGTCAGCAAGAGGAGGCATTTTTTTTTTTAAGATTTTATTTATTTGTCAGAAAGCACAAGCAGAGGGAGTGGCAGGCAGAGGGAGAGAGGGAGAAGCAGACTCCCCGCTGAGCAAGGAGCCCGATGCAGGATGCAGGACTTGATCCCAGGACCCTGGGATCATGACCTGAGCCAGAGGCAGACGCTTAACCAACCGACTGAGCCACCCACGTGCCCCAAGAGGGGGCATTTTTATAAAGTGCTCAAAAGGGAGCACTTTGTAATGCACATTCTGTACCTGTTAGCTATTAATATCTTTATTAATGGGTTGGACTCCAGAGTCCAAATTCTTAACCACTATGTTGTATGGCCTAATTTTTTCTCCTCTTCTGCAAAACTGAAGGGAATTGGGCTAAGTGGAGCACTCGGCCGTTAGTGCCAACAAGCTCCCCAGCAAATCCCGGTAGACTCGCCAGCTGGTTGTGGAAAGCATGGTCTTCACTTGCCCCCCGGCTTCCTCCGTGTCGGAGGGGAGGAGAGGGCCGGGAAGAGCTTTCGCTCGTGCTGGGCATCAGGGCAAGCTTGCAGGCGTGGGGGCAGTGGGGTGGGGGGGTGGTCTGTGTGCTCACTCCACCTGCGTCTGACCCGTGTTTCTGCCCCTCCCATCCCTACCCCCACTCGCACCCAAGGTGAGAAACCTCACAAGTGTGAGCTCTGCGACTTCACGTGCCGAGACGTGAGCTACCTGTCCAAGCACATGCTGACCCACTCCAACGCCAAGGATTACATGTGCACCGAGTGTGGCTACGTCACCAAGTGGAAGCACTACCTCAGTGTGCACATGCGGAAACACGCAGGGGACCTCAGGTAGGAGCGCGCGAGCCTCCCTCCCTAGCCCAGGAAGCTGACGCTAAGCCAGCGTCCTCTTGAGCTCAGCGTGCTCTCCTGGCCGCAGAGCCACTCCTCCCAGTGCCCCTCTCTGCCCCTCTCCTGTCCGCTCCATTGCCTGCAGCTGGCCTCTGTGCCTGCGGCCCAGTCTGCCTGGGGAGAGCTCCCTGGGCTCAGGGAAGGGAGCACAGACCCAGAGTCCAGGCCTAGACGTGAAGGTGGCCCTTGAGCTCTCAAAGAGTCCGGGCCTGGGAAAGTCGGGAGACGGCACCTGCAACCCCAATCCTAGCCACGTTCCGCATGCAGGCAGGCTCCCCTCTGCGCTGGGGCACGGCTGGCCAGGGGGTTTTTCCGGAGCTTTCACGCCTCCGTGGGAGAACGGGCTCTAGGCACAGACACCTGCCCCGTGGGGCCACAGCCCGGCAGCTCCTTCCGAGTCCAGGGCGGGTGGCGGATTCATGCTGTCTTCCCTGTGGGGAGCAATGTAGAGTAGGGGTCGGAACATAAGCCCTGAAGCTGGGCTGTCAGCCCTCCGCTTCTTCTGTAACCTGAGGCAGGTCATTGACCTCTGTGCGTGAGTCTCCTCACTTGGAAGTAGGTGCCGATGTCGTAGGGTAGCGGCAGAGAATAAGTTAGATGACAGGAGTAGACGCTGAGCAGAGAGCCTCGTCCGCAGGAAGTACTTACGGGCTGGTTACGGGAGATTGATCACGGCGCCTTTGCCGCACCCCCCCTTCCTCCTCACCAGGTACCAGTGCAACCAGTGCTCCTACCGTTGCCACCGGGCCGATCAGCTGAGCAGCCACAAGCTGCGCCACCAGGGCAAGTCCCTGATGTGCGAGGTGTGTGCGTTCGCCTGCAAGCGGAAGTACGAGCTGCAGAAGCACATGGCCTCCCAGCACCACCCGGGCGCGCCGGCGCCGCTCTACCCCTGCCGCTACTGCAGCTACCAGAGCCGCCACAAGCAGGCGCTGCTGAGCCACGAGAACTGCAAGCACACGCGCCTGCGGGAGTTCCGCTGCGCCCTCTGTGACTACCGCACCTTCAGCAACACCACCCTCTTCTTCCACAAGCGCAAGGCCCACGGCTACGTGCCCGGCGACCAGGTGTGGCAGCTCCGCTACGGCGGCCAGGAGCCAGAGGGGCCCGGGCCGTGCCCGACCCCCCCACCCGACTCCGAGCCCCCGGGCCAGCCGCCCGCCCAGCCTGCGGGGCCAGACCGTGACCCTGGGCCCGTGGTGGAGCCCCCCCTGGACCCGGCGCCGCCGGAGACCAGTGAGGAGGAGAGCGCCGGCAGACCGGATGGCAGTGAGGTTCCGCCGGGGGCCGAGCTGGTTGGCAGCCCCAGTCCGGCGGAGGTCGATGAGGCCGGCTGCACGCTACACCTGGAGGCCCTGGGGGTAGAGCTGGAACCTGTGGCCGAGCCACCCCTTGAGGGGATGGCTGAAACCGACCCTGTGGCGTTCAGGCCCCTGGATGCCTCAGGGCCCCTGAGACTGGAAGGGCCAGAGGAAACTTTGACACAGCTGTCTACCTTTGAAGGTGCCGGAACTTCTGGCATGGGTGCCGAAGAAAAGCCCGTTCTGGAAAAGCCAGTTCCTGAGGCCCCCCACAATGCCCCTTCCTCAGAGGAGCCCCCTGACAGCTGGGCGGGAACCTTCAAGGCCGCTCTGGCTGCCGAGAGCGCCCCCCTCCCCCAGTTCCCCGAGTCAGAGTCCTTACTCAGGGCCCTCCGGAGGCAGGACAAAGAGCAAGCCGAGGCTCTGGTCCTGGAGGGGCGGGTTCAGATGGTGGTGATCCAGGGAGAGGGGCGGGCTTTCCGCTGCCCGCACTGCCCGTTCATTACCCGCCGGGAGAAGGCCCTGAGTGTGCACTCCAGGACGGGGTGCCAGGGCCGCCGAGAGCCCCTGCTGTGCCCCGAGTGCGGGGCCAGCTTCAAGCAACAGCGCGGCCTTAGCACCCACCTGCTGAAGAAGTGCCCCGTTCTGCTCAGAAAGAACAAGGCTTTGCCCACACCGGGTTCACCCCTCCGTCCGCATCCCCTGCCCCCAGGCACCCAGGGCTCCGAGGATGCAGAAGGTGGGAAGCGCCCGCCTGCACCCTTAGAAGTAGAGCTGGTGCTCCCCAAAGATGCTGCTGCCGCGCTTCCTAGGGAGCCGGAAGAAGTAGAGGAGCCTCCTGGCACGCTCTGCGTCTCCGCAGCCCCTCCCGCGGGGAGCACCTCACCCGCAGAGACCCCTGAGAAGTTCCACTTCGAGCAGGGCAAGTTTCACTGCAACTCGTGCTCGTTCCTGTGCTCTCGGCTCTCCTCCATCACCTCTCACGTGGCCGAAGGCTGCCGGGGGGGACGCGGCGGGGCAGCAAAGCGAGGGGCCTCCCTTCTGAGCAGCGGGGACTCGGCCTGCGCGACCGGGGTGGGCGCGGAGTGCAGCCCCGGCAGTGGGGACCCAGCTCTGGCTCCCAAGCAGAAGGGGGCCCGCTTCTCCTGCCCCACGTGTCCCTTCAGCTGCCAGCAGGAGCGGGCCCTGAGGACTCACCAGAGCCGGGGCTGCCCCCTGCAAGAGCCTGGAGAGCTGCAGTGTGGCCTCTGCTCTTTCAGCAGCCCCGCCGCCGCCGCCCTGAGGCTCCACCAGCAGCGGAGGCACCCCGCCGCCGCGCCGGCCCGCGGGCCCCGGCCCCCGCTTCAGTGCGCGGACTGCGGCTTCACCTGCAAACAGAGCCGCTGCCTGCAGCAGCACCGGCGCCTCAAGCACGAGGGCGTGAAGCCCCATCAGTGCCCCTTCTGCGACTTCTCCACCACGCGACGGTACCGGCTGGAGGCCCATCAGTCCCGGCACACGGGTGTGGGCCGCATCCCCTGCAGCGCCTGCCCGCAGACGTTCGGGACCAACTCGAAACTGCGCCTGCACCGGCTGAGGGTCCACGACAAGACGCCCACCCACTTCTGCCCGCTCTGCGACTACAGCGGCTACCTGCGCCACGACATCACCCGCCACGTCAACAGCTGCCACCGGGGCGCCCCCGCCTTCGCCTGCCCCCAGTGCGAGGCCCAGTTCAGCTCGGAGACGGCGCTCAAGCAGCACGCCCTGCGCCGCCACCCCGAGCCGCC